GCGTATGTGGGTGCTGGACTGGTGGATGACGCCTCTCACTTGGGCCGCCACGCCCCTAGGAGCGTGGCGGCCCAATGCCCAACGCCAGCCCGTAGGCAGCGACGACGCCAGCACCTGGCAGTGGGCTAGGTCACCCACCTCCCCCCTCCCCCCCCCCGTGACACCGAGGGCGCATTCCCCTTGGGCCTGCCAGAGCTCCGCGTCCTCGACGGAGAACGGCGGCAGGCGCAGCGCGATCACCCGCCGAGCTGCGGGGGTCTGGGGCCCGCCGGCTGCGCTGAGGCCGGCTGCAGTTGGTGTCGGCGGGCTGCCGGAGCCACCGGTTGCAGGAGCCGTGCCGTCTAGGTCTATCACTCCGAAGTGGCGAGTGCGTCACCGAACGTCACTAAGTGTCGCGTCGTCACTCCAAAGTGTAGGGTCGCGTCACGCGCTATTCGGCGGTAAGGATACGCTGCGGTACCGATCAACTTGGCGGGTACGCTCGAGGCCGCCACTGTTGTGGGTAGGGCACTAACCGAGTATCTTCACAGCAAATGTTTATTCGAAAGTCACTGGAGCGGCGTGTGACTGGACCGCCGTTTGCGCGCGCCGCGATGTGAGAGAAAACGGATGTAGAAAGAGCTGGGCTGTTGCCATAGAGGAAAGGCATGTTAGACATTATGAAACCATTCGTCAAATGAAAGGCTTTTACAAGGTGGAAATATTTCTGTCAGTGTAAGAAGTAAAGAAAGCAGTAGAAAATGATTGTATCACTCGCCATCACTGATGTGGCAGTGGAGATGTTGGCGTTATTCGCATGGTCGAGGGGAGCTCTGGCTCAGGAGCTATTTTGAGTATGATCGTCGCTGGTTCTTGACGCTTCGCCGCATCCTGGCGGCGCGTATTTGTTTTTACATTTTTTAAACTTTTGTTACACTTTTATTACACTTTTTTTTATTTAGGTAAGTAAAATGTGCGTAAGTCAGCTACGGCACTGTAAGCGTGAAATGGTTTTCCAAATGGCATAGCTAACATTGAAAGACATCGTTTTGGATATATTTAACAAACGACGGAGAACGCCGGCGGCTGAATTCGCCCTCAGCCAACATGGCACGCTGAGAGGGACCGGAACCCCAAAACGAGAAATAAAAGCACCAGCTGCTTGATAATGGCCGAAGCTCATTGTCCGCGGGTAAAGTGGCACACAACGAAGTGGTTGTCTGACGCTGTGGCCTGATTACAAACCCATCAATTGTCAACACTGCTCTGCATCTGTGAGCTGGCCGGACTCGTTAGTGCCACCATCTAGGCTGCGATGCTACTGCTACCTGGTGGCGGGTCTGACACACAACGAAAGGTGAGAGTTGGTCGCATTAAGTCAAGTTGATACCATATCATCATTCACCATGCCTCTGTTTGGAAGTGGTCGCCATTGGAGAAGCCTCGCTACTGCACAAGGAGAGCTGTCGGAAATATTCTGGGAGCTTTTACTGGCCGGCGTTGTTCGTCCCATTCCACTCCCTCCAGGACAGCCGGGACGAGTGGACGCGGTAGAACTGTGAAACCGATCTACGAGATGTGCGTGTGCTGTGATGATTTGAGTTCAGGGCACACCGACAACTTGGCCAAAGTGCATCCATGCCAAGAGTTATGTCTACAAAACACAAAGATTTAGGAGGCGCCACCACCGGACGAAGGGGCCGAGCAGAGCTCAAGTGGCACCGCCCACTGCACGTCCGTTTTTCCGAGCAGAGTGTCACGCTTGCTTGAACAGGTGATGTCCGTTCAGGTGTGTTCGTCGCGACCCTGCCATCGGCACCGGACGAGGATGGCCTGCGCCGACCGAGCGCCCATCACTCGATTCGATGGACCTCACTATTCGACAAACACGACAGGCTGCGGCAAAACGTCAAGAGCCAGCGACGAACATACTCAAAACAGCCATCTGAGCAAGAGCTCCCCTCGAGCATCCGAATAACGCTAACATCCCGATTGCCACATCAGTGATGGCATCCTGATCCCGGTGTCCGCCACTGTCACCGGGACTGGACGTGTAATGGCGCGGATCATCGTCACGATGGTGACAACACCTGAACCTATACACCTTCTTCCCGAGCCCTCCCCCTGCCGAGTTCACAATGTTGACTCGCTAACAGGCAAGTGGAGTCCCTGGTCTGTGTGTAATGCCATCTTGGACCTGCATATACCACTGCGAAGGGCGAAGCTGAGGCTGCTTCCCTTAACCACATCCCCGTCCCCCGGCCGGAAAATGAAATCAAAACAGCGTCGGAAGTCCGCAAGCAAGAACTCAAAAAGGATGGCCAGATCCTTGTGAAGGCATCGAATAGGAGCACTTTCTGCACCAAAATACCGGTTAACTATTGTGGTTATGTTAATGGAGCTTCTGCCCAGGAACAGCTTTCAAACAGGCATCCTAAAAACGTTTGGCACTTCATAACAACTTGACTCTGCGACTGAAAGGCGAGGTATTCGATGCGAATCCCTAAGGTTTTTTTAAGATACCGCTCCGGCATGCCGTGGAATCGCACTCCCAAATTTTCGTAGTAAAAGGACATTCATTGCGCGTGCTTTAGTGATACCAAACATGTGTTGCTAACTTTGCTGGTTTCGGAGAATTGGCGTTTTTTTGGGAGCGTTGCACAGCGATCTACGGCCAGCACGGGCGGCGGGCAGCAACTAACGAGGCCGCGGAAAGCGAATGACAAATTGACATTGTTGCATAAACGGAACCATATATCATCGATATATTCTCAAGGCACAACAAATGCACATCATTGTACTCAGAATTTAGTGGTCATCCTTTAATAAAATCTTCATTATCTAGATCAGAGATGAGAAACTTTATTAGTTTGGCAACGTCAGGGGAGGGGTTCGCATCGACACCCCATCCCCCCCCCCCCTCCTCTATCAGTCCGCGTTCCGAAAACGGCGATTCAGGGCGAGGGCTAAATCAAACCAAATGCAAAAGCATCCAACGACTTCCAGCATTACCAAATGAGCCGGACCCATGAACATACGCCAAGACTGGCCAACGTCTGCGTCCGGCAACCTATTATATATATATATATATATATATATATATATATATATATATATATATATATATATCCTATTCTTCACGAATGTGGGCCGCAGCGGGGAGGATGTGACAGCCGCACCAGATGTCAGGGGCGCCCCCGATGTTACATGTCACAGGAATTGTTCTTTAGAGGCTCGAAATAGACATGTTACTGACTGACCAGTAAGATGATGAACTCGCAGACGAATCAGGTTGTTATGAATAATGTTGAACGTATTCGTACCTAAATTAATTTTGCACCAAGACGGCTACAAAAACCATTTCTCAAAAGCATGCGGTTTTTGAGGCCACGAGGAATTTGATATCAAATGTGTTAAATGGAATGTTCCATATTTGAAGATATTGAAGCGAGCGTCAGATATGATGATATTAGATCACTCATAACTATTGGTATTCTTAAAGTAGAAAAGAATGCTCTAGACAACCCATTTTCCATGTTTAGTAAATTTCACGTACAATTGACTATTATTTGATTGCGTCATCATACCTTGCAAAACATTTGAGGGCCAATTGACGGCTGTTGTATCTGAAAATCGTGCTCACGAACACAACGTATGAACGATACGACAACTATATTTTATTGGCCTTGATCGTCGCATGTCCAATGAGCTGCCAGGATTTAAATAGCATTATTGCGTCATGAATGCCTGAGTGACCTTGAAATAGTCTGCACTTGATGGTACGCACATCTTAGCGAGCATGTAGCTCAGAAACTGGACGGATTTAGGTATTAAGAAGGGCAGGGCTTTGAACTGCACCAAACGATCTTCAGTACGACTATTTCAGTTCAAACCACATACGAATGTGGAACACTCCCTTTAAAATGGAAAGAGGGTTCAATTACTTAATTCTCGGCATTCTGACAGCCGTAGCTGGTGATTGCCGACATAACTGTGTTTTCACGCCTGGGACAGTTGTTCGGGCCATCGTCCCCGTCTGGTGTGTAAGTACGAGAGCACAACGTTACAGCCAAGTCATGCTGCGGCCGTTGTCAGGTGCTACTGAGTCCTGAGGAGGACTGGATGATAGTTGGCTTTAGGCCATGGATGCGTCACCATCCAAACTCTCTTATTTTGGAATTGCTGGGATTCGAACCAGAGTCTTCTGATCGCGAGTCGAGAACTCGGCTAATGGAGCTAGCCGGGAAGGAACTCTTCCCCTGACTCACATGTCCGGCAGGACTCATCCTCATGCCGTTCATAGACATCTGCGTACAATATGCCTCATTTGATCTCGTATCTGGCGGACGGAGTGCAGCGGAGGAAGACAGAACGTAGCGGTAAAGGCTTTCACGCTGAGCAAATTGTGCCAGTGACATTACGCACCGTGAAAATAGCGACACTAAAAAAACGGCCAATTGTCTCGAAGCGGTCTAACGAGGATACGGGTCGTGGACCGTGGAATTTGCACTTTTTCAAGGGTATGCCGAACAGACAGGAGTGCTCCAGTTAGGTCTATGGATCACCTGAGAACTGTCTGCTGTAGCCTGCGGGTGGCCCATTGGGTCGCGGTGTGCAGCCGTCCGTTGGCACGCTGTCCCTCCGGGCGAGACGCATCGCTCCCCGGCGACCGAGATCATTGGAGCACGGCATGTGACGTCGTCATTCTGCGTCACTGAGACCGTCGAGGCTGCGGGGACGGCCTCTGACATCGCGCCGCGACGGGAGCGCCGCGTCGCCGCCGATGCGGCGGGAACCGCGCCTGATATCGGCTGGTGGCCTGCCGTGTTCGCGCCCGACGACATGGCTTGTGGAATGAGGAGACACTGCACGCTCAGGGAGGCACAACTGAAGCGTATACGGCGTGGCGTCGACGTCGCCTTTTGCCGCTCGACGGCCCGATGACCACCGTCTCTCTGCCAGAGAGTTATCATCGACCGGCGCTGGTATGACGTCACCGCCGTCCGCGGCGGCGGCTCGGCGGCGCGTCGGTGCCAATCCAATATGGAGCCGAAAACATCCGTGCGGCACCCAGTGAGCAGAGAGGTAGCAGCAATGTGAAGGGTGCGCCGCCCAGTCGTCACCGTGTCTCACAAGCCAAACCCGTCCAGGTCGCAGCCCCATGGAGCCACCGCCGTGACGACGCCAGGTAGGCGCTGGGGCCGGCGCCAGCGGCAGCTGCCTCGGCGTCCCCTCTCGGGCAGCAGGCGGAGCCCGCAGCCGGGGCATGGCCGCGCCAAGCGGGCCGGCTACGACCGTGTGCGATGGGGAGGGGCGGGGCGGGTCGCGGGCCGCGGGCGGCGTGCCCCGGCCACGGGCGGGGAGTCACGCCGCCGGGACCGGACCGCGCCCCGATCGATATGCCGACGAGCGAGCGAGAGGTGACAGCGCTCCGGCGGCGGCACCGATCGGCCGCCGGCTGACCCGTTGGCCGGTTAGAGACGCCACCGTAGCCGCGGCTGCTCCCACTTCGCCTTGCCAACGTGACCACGGATGCTCCCGCCTCACCTCACCGCTATGACCGTGGCTGCTCCCACCTCACCTCACCGCCGTGACCACGGCTGCTCCCGCCTCACCTCACCGCTGTGACCGCGGCTGCTCCCGCCTCACCTCACCGTTGTGACCGCGGCTGCTCCCACCTCACCTCACCGCCGTGACCACGGCTGCTCCCGCCTCACCTCACCGCTGTGACCGCGGCTGCTCCCGCCTCACTTCGCCAGCGTGCAGGCCAAAATAGCTGGTGGGCCGGCGGCCCGTCCGCCGGCTGCCGTCGAGAGTTGGTCATTCGGCCAGCCCCTGAGCCAGACACAGCTGGGGAGCTGGTCACTTGGCCAGCCCCTGCGCCAGACACATCATGGGAGTTGGTCACTTGGCCAGCCCCTGCGCCAGACACAGCTGGGGAGCTGGTCACTTGGCCAGCCCCTGTGCCAGACACAGCATGGGAGCTGGTCAGTTGGCCAGCCCCTGCGCCAGACACAGCATGGGAGCTGGTCACTTGGCCAGCTCCTGCGCCAGACGCAGATGGGGGGCTGGTCACTTGGCCAGCCCCTGCGCCAGACACAGCCGGCTGCTCTGCAGCTTTCTTCAGCCACCTAGCTTATTGGACCAATTATAGTCGTACCTCGTTACACTGCTGCCCATAATTCAATCGATTCAACTTTAACTCCCTATTGAAACTTTGAAGGAATCTTTTGTATGCAGGTGTTTTTTTATATTTGGCTGATCTACGATAGGGCATCTTGAATGAGGACTAGTGGGGTGATGCACCCGATTTTCAAAAGCATGAGATCAACAAGCCAACGTGCCGGAATAGGTAGGGTTAGCTGCCTAGAAGTTGACACAGTCTGTCTGCCAACAATAATTTCCGGCCTTTTCTCGGCGACGTCCCGGTCGAAAGCCATGAGATCTTCAGCAAGTGTTCGTTCCCAAGCTTTGGTTTGTATATGGGGTCATAGCTGGTCACAACGCGGACGATATGCTTTCGAGATGGCGTACTGCCGCCTCGGAAGACGCCAACAGCGAAATGATCGCAATGCAAACGTAAACCACACATCAGTTGAAAGTTTCTAGTCCTGGATAATCGCCGCGCTCAGGCCACACAAATACGCATAGCTACTGGACTCGGGACCTTTCGGTCTCGCCACGGTTGTGAGACACGTGTAAAGATGTGGAATTGATTAGAATTCTTGCGGAATTCCCGCGGAACTCTTTACCGACCAACATTTCTGCAGGATACTTTCGAATACTTGGCTCAGTTTTGTAGAAATACCGCCCATTTTTCGCTGACGAAAAAAAATCAAATATAAATGAAAGAAACGGTTATGGTTCAAAAGCAAAAAGTTTAGACGCGGTGATTATCAATGGCAAGTGTTAAACGACCGAAAGCCCTGTAGGCTCCTTCAGTCTGAACGACTGTTTTGCTACAAAAGCAGTTGTATAAGAATCCCTATAAAGCCCTGGAATCCCTAAAGGGCCATGGGCAGACCATTCTTATTATGGCTGCTCATTGGTAAGCCGTTGGTGTTCACTTTCCCTGTCGAGCAATATTCTCTTCGACGCGTTCCTGACTGAGATAAGATTGGAGCCAGACCCCCAATAAGACATGGTTGCCATGCGTTTTAAAAGGGGGTTTAATGCGGCAGCACCGCTCTCTGCTGAATCGCAACACCGCTGATGGCTCCACAGCGATGGCGTGGAACGAATGCAGAAATTCTATCTGAGAATACGCCATGATGCGAAGGATAAAACACTCCTGTTACGCCACAAGATGCGTGAAAAAGTTGGAAACAACTGATGGCGCGATGAGATGGAAATGTTTTGTTATGCCATTGCAACAATACCATATTTATGCTGGTAGGTTTACCCTCATCTGTATGTCTGCTTCTGATATGGTGCGAGTAACTGTTTTTCGTAATGATCTCTTTTGTAAATAACTTGCGTTGCGGCGCCACACGGTAAGAAGTACCCCAAAAACGTTCCAAAGCGTTCTCTCCCTAAACTTTCACGGTCGCCACGTCTTGCCCGCCTCTTTGGCTGGGTACCGGTATCTCTCCACCCTCTCCACGGCAAGACAGCACTTAGCTTCACCCCTGCCGGCGCCCAACCACAAATAACCAAACAACAGACGCAGCATCGGGCCGCGTATCTGCCATCCTCCGCGATGAAGCGCCCGCCGCTGGCTGGGCTGGCCCCTTCAGCGAAACAGGAAGGCGGCCAGCGCCCTACCCGAAAGGCAGAAAAGCCGGCGGCGCCCCGCAGAAGTCCCTGCGGAGCGGGACGGGGGCGAGCAGCGAGCCTGACAGCGTCCGAGTCGAGATGGTGGGAACAGGGGCGGAGCGAGGGGACGGGTGGCCACATTGTTTGCCGCCTTTCAGCCTGCTTTGTGTCCACGTTCCGCGCGAATGGATGCGGCGGTGCCGCGCAGACGGTATATGGCTGCGGCGGACGCGGTAAGACGCTGGCATCAAGGCTGGAGTGCAGAGACGCCGTATGGTGCGCAGTCCGCCGGCTGACAGTGTACTTGTCGGCAAGCGGATGCTGCATGCATTTGTGATAATTTGTCGCGCCCTCTCACCTGCATCGCATTTCTATTTCTGATTTTCCGTGGTGTCTCCTATTTTGCGGTACATGTTGCGATACTAGAAAACCTTTTATGTCATATACATCTATATATATATATATATATATATATATATATATTTGTGTGTGTGTGTGTGTGTGTGTGTGTGTGTGTGTGTGTGTATGTGTGTGTGTGTGTGTGTGTGTGTGTGTGTGTGTGTGTGTGTGTGTGTGTGTGTGTGTGTGTGTGTGTGTGTGTGTGTGTGTGTGTGTGTGTGTGTGTGTGTGTGTGTGTGTGTGTGTGTGTGTGTGTGTGTGTGTGTGTGTGTGTGTGTGTGTGTGTGTGTGTGTGTGTGTGTGTAAACCAAAAACCAAGATTTGGTCTGCCAAAAACATTGCGCGATTTTAATTTTGTCTTTAACGATGTGAGCATTGTGGTTCCGAAAGCACATTTTCAATTCCCACAAACCTAAAACAATGAGAACATTGTCACTTTACCACTTTTGGCGTTGGCATACGGCGTAGTAATGCTATGCTCCAAGTCTGTCATAATGTTAGTATCACTCACATATGTCAGTATTCCGGGATTACTCCTGATTGGACGCGCTTGAGGAATCTGAAAGTTATTCCTGAACATGCTTCTGGGGTTCTGGATCCGAAATATTTATTTACGCTAAATCTGTTACGAAATTTGGTGCGGAACGGTCTTGTAGGATCCTGGGGATTCTGCTTATTGTGAAAGTTGATCCACAATCAAGAATTTGTGCAGTAATTTTATTAAAAGGATGCAAAGCGCCGTATATGTGCTTTCAAAACCTTACCCCTCGAAGTTATACGGCGGGTTACACGAACTGTGGTAGTTCTGCAGAAGCTCTTCCCTGATATCAGGTCGTCAAAGATCTCTGATAATAGCTTCCCAGCTTTCACTAACGCCACAAGACTGGGATTTCGTAAGGCGCTCTAAATGAGGTCAGATCAGGTCCTGATCAAGGACGTTCCCATTTCTATTTCAGCTTTAAAGTGCCCAAGATGGTTAAAAAGTTTCTCACTAACCAATGATGTTTTGTAAATATCCGTCGCCGTTTTACAGGGTTTCAAAATTATTGCCGGATGCATTTGGATCCAGGAAATGCGCAGGATTTCTTGCAGGATCTTCTGTCTTGCCCTCTTAGACACTTTTACCAAAAATCCATGCGGCATCGGGGATCCATGTCACATTTGGTAGAGCAATTATTCGATCCCAAGCCTCTTGAAACGTTGACAAGAGATTCTGTGAGATCCCCACCGTTGGAATTCATGCAGGTGTTTGGTTTAGACAAAGGCGTCAGATCGCCAGGAGCTGAAGAAGAAAAACGAAGGAAACCGGCGCCATCGGCAAACCGCCTTATTCTGTATTTGCTTTTGTTTGGCACAACTGCCTTTCGCAATCGCAGTTTTTGCCTCGCTGAGAAAAAAAGACAACGAACAAGTTCTATTATTACACGAGTGGCTAAAAGCCTGTGAAGTCGTTTCGTAGTTTTAGCTACACTTAAGACATTGTACACGACCTGCCACGTCATCAGTAATGCGATATATGCTAATTTAAGCATTATTCGCTAAGATTAATCGTTCGAGTTCTTCCAGTTTTTATCCATTGCTGTTTGACTTTTTCCGGTCTATCCATGAAGACCTGAAAACGAAGGGATACTGTTAACCCTCAGGCGGTCACGGTTGGTGAAATAACCCAGGCAATGTCGTCTCACAACATCGTCTGGGCTTCCACCCAACATTGATAGAACCAAACACCAAAAGTGGACTGGCCTACCCGATCGTTTCTGGCATCACTGTTGTGACTTAACATGCAGGGATGGTCTTAACAAAACGAAGCATTAAAATTTTCGATAACCATTATGCAAATACTGCTACCGTGATATCAAGTGTAGCTAGTACAATGCCATATTATGGTCATCATTCATACTACCACGCCAACAAACAGGTCGCACCCTTTACGGCACGTTCGACACGTGCCGCTTTTGGACCAAGCACAGCTTTGCCATTTTCAGTACGTTCCGAGCAGTTGTTCAGCGCGTTTCGGTGCTGATCTCCTTCATTGCCCTGACGATCGGCCCTATCAGTTGTGGTATGTCTGAAGGGTTCTTATGATGTACTAGCTCCCGTGGCTAAGACGTTCTATCTGGTCCACACGGTGGAAGATCACTTTCTGATTTCTTGTCTTTGGATATGGCTGGCAGTGCTGGCGCTACAACCGATGTTTTGTGAGAAGCCACGGACTGACTGCCGGTGGCCGGCCACCGCTCGACGGCGGTACCCTCTCCGGCCACCTCTCGACGGCGGTCCCCCCCCCTCCCCCCGCCACCGCTCGACGGCGGCACCCCCTCCTGCCACCGCTCGACGGCGGTCCCCCCCCCCCTCCCCCCGCCACCGCTCGACGGCTGTACCCCCTCCGGCCACCGCTCGACGGCTGTACCCCCTCCTGCCACCGCTCGACGGCGGTCCCCCCCCCCTCCCCCAGCCACCGCTCGACGGCTGTACCCCCTCCGGCCACCGTTCGACGGCTGAACCCCCTCCGGCCACCTCTCGACGGCGGCACCCCTTTTCGGCCGCTCCTCTACACCAGCACCTTCTCTAGCCGCTATCTAACGGCAGGACCCTGTCGGAGTTCTTTGGGCGTTGGGCTGTCGTTCTTCAACGGCGTCACCTCGTCAGCCGCCCCTGTGCGGCCGCTCTCGGCGACGGCGACTGAGCGGCCGCTGCTGTTCCAGGTGGCGGGCCCGCGGAGCCGGCCGCCTCCAGCCGCCTCACCATGACGCTGCGATGGGAAAAGCTGTCGCCGGCCGAGTTTCAGCAGCTCCAGGACATGGCCACATGTGAGTGCCTTCGCTCGACTCGGATCGATCTGAATATTTGTCTGTTTTACGCTATATTTGTGCTGAGGTGTCCATTCGGGTCAAGATCGCGAAAGACTTAGCGTTGTGCATGCTTTACACAATTACGTACGAGTATGTAATAAAGGCGCTATTGCATCATTCAGACCGTGTGTTGCGCGTGCGACTTGTAATATGATCACAGAAATGATTGCCATTACGTCCAATGTTATCAAGTATGGAAGAATGAAGAGATGGAAAGGAAATGACATGCTAGGATGGTAAGAGAGAGAAAAAGGCATGTAAAAAAGGAGACAGTAAAAAGATGGCAGAGCGAGGCGGCAGAAAGAGAGAGAGAGAGAGAGAGAGAGAGAGAGAGAGAGAGAGAGAGAGAGAGAGAGAGAGAGAGAGAGAGAGAGAGAGAGAGAGAGAGAGAGAGAGAGAGAGAGAGAGAGAGAGAGAGAGAGAGAGAGAGAGAGAGAGAGAGAGAGAGAGAGAGAGAGAGAGAGAGAGAGAGAGAGAGAGAGAGAGAGAGAGAGGCTACTTTTAGTTATCTGCATGTTTGTGTAATAACATTTCCATTCGCGTTTTTCAGACTCGTCCAAAAAACTGAAGGATGTTCTGGATGAATTCGGCAAAGATGGCCCTTTGTCAAAATACCAGCCGGATGGGGTAGGTCAACAACCTTCGTCGTTCTGCAAGGTCAAGTGCGCATACAGAATTTACTAGTAAAAGTTGTATTCCAGGGACGAGTGGCATAAGCAATGGAACCGGCATTTGCCGTTGATATGCTTCATCATGTGTGTCACTCACTTTGAAGCTGAATCACCCTCGATGTTTGGTGACAATGACCGTAGGTCCGTGGTCCAGCTTCTTACGCGCGCTGCGCCCCGTGCACGGCAGGATATCGACTCGGAGGGCTTCAAGGTGTTCATGGACACGTTCCTGGAGCAGGAGACTCCTGACGAGCTGTGCCGTCACCTGTTCCTCAGCTTCGTGCGCCGGCCGTCACGCGGCGCCCAGCTCGACGGCCGGGCTATTAAAGTGGGTGAACGGCGCCCCACTCCCGCCGCAGCGCCAGCCGAGGGCGCCGACCGAGGGCACCGGTCGAGGGCGCCGACCGGTGCGGCCGGCGCCTGGTCAGGCCCGATTGTTAGCGCATCAGCGCTGCTTGCAATGGGAATATGAATGAGTGGTGCCTCACGGCCGGGTTGTGTGCCGGCCGCTGGGCGTCGCTGCGGGCCGGGCCAGGCTGGCCGCGCCCGGCGCTAATGACTTGGAAAATGTGATGACGCTGCGCCTGCCGTGTTGCGGCCGGGGTGGTGGCCGCCGACCCCGCTCGGTCTGCTCGGTCAACACCGCACCGGCCGGCGGCCCGTCCCCGCGCGCCACCAGCCTCTCATGGGCTAACGAGTCACTTTGATCAGCCGTCAGTGATGGCGGCGCAGGAATTGTTTGCCATGATCTCACAGATGCTTGTTGTTTTTGGCTTTCCGCTTGGCTGTACGCTTCTCTGATCTTACGTGGGTATCGACCCTGTATATACAAGATGGCGGCACGCTCGGGAGCTCCGATATTGTGTAAGAGCACTAAACGGCGTGCTATGAGACGTGTCCTGGCTGCAGAGACATTGATACTGTGGCACGGGCCGTGATGTGTACCGGCCCTTTGAAATCCATGTATCACCCCACCCTCGCATTAACCTTCGCCCTACCTTATATCACCTTCGCCCTACCTTATATCACCTTCGCCCTGCCTTACATCACCTTCGCCCTACCTTCTATCACCTTCGCGCCCTACCTTCTATCACCTTCGCCCTTTGAGGGAGCCCTATATGTCACCCTAAGATCTTGAGAAGTAAGCAAGTTAGAGCCGCGTTCAAAACGAAATTGGAAAGCTTTTGTCAACTCGCATCTGTTGGGTGTTTCTGAAAACAGTAAATTTGTCTATCGACAGGTCGAACGAGGTCAAATCGTTCGAACACGCCTTTTAAACCCCTCCCGTTATCTCAAAAACTAAGCACGGCACGACATTGTGGAAAACGGTGTTGAACAGCAGTTTAAAAACTCCATCTAGTCGCACTGGTGAACATCGAGACATGGAATCTGTGATATGTGATGTCAGGTCCTAGGGGTGAATACGATTGCTACGGTGGCCTGTTTGAGTGTATTAAAATTAAGCAAGCTACAAGCACTGGGTGCACAGGGTTACAGGGCCTTCCAAAGTGATTATTTACGTCCCATGAAGGCTCAAATTCTATGACTCAAACTATCAAAGCTGGTCACAAATGGCAATGTCTGATCTAGATTCAACTTATATAACCTGACCCTGCGGAAACAGCCAGAACACATGTACTTCAGAGTGACCTAGATAAGAAAGTCTAAGTACTTTTTGGGGTGAACTACTGCAAGAAATAAGCGTTATTTGTCATTGTTTATAAAAAATGTCAGCAACCTTACCTCGTGAAAGGTATCGTAGGTATTGAACCGTCATGCCTAGGAGCCTTAAGCTCTGAACCCATTAGTAGAATTGATGAGAACACAAATCCTCAACATTTAAGCAATATGCTCAAACACGTTGAGAAATTATTTCTGAAAATCCTCAGGTGGGCATATGAGCTCTTACCCGTCTCATGGGGCTTTTGGTTCGATCTGAAGGCAGAGATAAAGAAAACTCGATGTAAGAAAGCCTGAATTCTTCGTAAGGTCATTGAAAACGTGTTTCGGATCTATTCTGTTGTAAAAACTCTCCCACCTAAAATTCTTGAACAGATCCTTAGCTGTATTATTATCATTTAAGACAGGGATTAAGCTATCTTTAAAGATATTACGCCCAGCACCATGCATATGGCCAAACTGTCACGCTAGCCTGCTACACTGGACAGGCCTGATCCCAGTACGTCATTTGTGGCCGACAGGAGATGGCGGTGCTGAGCTCGACCACAGCGTGCGCGGCCATCACAGCGCACAACCAGACCGGTTCGGTAACAAACTTGGCGCAGGTCAACTCTGTCGACAAGGTAAGACAGACTTATGCGATTCGCTTGAGCCCTTCCACGATTTCTTGGTTCGCGACAGATCGATGGGTTGTAATGGCTGTGCAAATTTCCCAGCTGAATTTTTACGTTGAATTTTTGGAATGCAACCAACCGACTCGATCTAAGTATTACTACACTCACGAAAACTGCAACGTTCATTGTACTTTTGGTCGAGTAGAATAATATGCAAGAGCGAATCCAACAACTTGTCGGCGGGAGAGGGGTCAAAACCAGCGTCTTTTTACTAGCTCAAGGCGAAATAAAAATCATGTTGTTTTGTCTTTTTCATTGGGATTACGGCTCTGTTGCCCCCTCCCCTCCCCCCCCCCCCCCCCCCTGAGACCCGTTGAAGACGGCAAATTCATTATTCAGACTTGAGTAGTTCTCCGGTCGTCGGTGTAAGTTTTGCAACACTTAAACGAGACACCTAATCGCTGGGCTTATCGCTAACTGACTTATAAAATTGATTCCTGTCGTTCGACAAAGGCCCCAATTAACCAACTTGAAGGCTCCGACAATGCATTTGTGTGGAAAACGTTCTTGGTAGGCATACACGAATGGATTTTTTAGCTTGGTTCCGCAATAGCCGTGTATTGTTAAACTTGGACGTGATTATGATTCACTTGACTTTTCTGGGGTTCTTTCTTTTCCTTTCCTTTCTGGGTTTCTGGGGTTCTGGGGTCAGGTCTCACATATTGTGAATGAGTGAATCATATCTGGAGTTTTACTCTACGAATGCAATGCACCAACGTTGGACCGCTTTGCAAGTCGGGTTCTTCAGTGCGGGCTCAAGCTGTCGTCTGCAATCAGCTGATGACTGCTGAGCCATGACACGCTCTGTGGCCAGCAGCATGAACTTGGGCCCGGGCACTCAACAGAGTCGGGATGTCTGGCGCTGCCAATTTCGTTGTCAACAATTGAGATAAAAGACAAACCACCTGTCTGACAGCACCTGACACTGTAGAAGCCTTTGACAGCACGCCGCACCGTTGGCTCCAGGATCAACTTGGGTGGCGTGGTATTGGTTCCCACTTGATGCGCAGCTGGTTGAGCGGGAGCTTCCAGCATGTTTGTTCCTAAGAGTGGCAGTTTTCCAGTGACCTACTGTGAGGTCCAAACGTCAAATATCGGGTCCATGCGCTACGTTTTTTTTTTTTTAAACGACCTTCCTTATCACAAGAGTTCAATCTTTGCATGTATATTTAAGAAAAAACACCGTTTAGTTTATTTACTGATGCCTTTCCGCAGATCTCACATCCATGCGTAGAACACACGTTTGAATCGGCGCTCTAATGGCTTTCTGCAAACATTCTCAGAATTAATCAGAACAAAACGCAGGAAAAGATCACCAAAACGCGTCAACGTCATAAGCCAGCCGACATATCAATGAACATCTACAGCAAAGTTATTGGTTCATGATCGTCGATGCCCGCTTGCCATGAGAGGCACTGGCATCACTCGATGTGAGGGGATGCTACTCTTCCAAACGTTGCTAAGCATCGGGCGCTGCGACACCGTGGGACGGCTGTCCGCGATGAAGGTCGTGCTGTCGTATTCACGCGCTCGGGTGGTCGTTTGGATACCTTTCACTAGGGTGGGGATCAAGGCAACCACTCAGAGATCTCAGGAACTAAGAGAGCTAGAGACACCAAATTTAAAGGGTGTGTTGGCCTGTACCTGAACTCACTCAGGTCAAAGTTTGAGGTTCTTAGGTCATGCTCTTCGGGTCAAATAAGGTCAATCAAGGTCAATATCCAGGTTTGTTTCCAAAGTGCCTTCAGAACCTAGATAACTGTTCTGAACAAAAAGTAACACGATCATTTAAGGTCAGTGACCTTTGAAATTTCGAAGGTCATGCAGACCAAAACCACATCGGACTGCTTTGAGTTTTGCATTTGAGTAAGCATCAAAGATGTATGGCTTCGTTTAAAGCTCCGTTGTTGGATCAGATTGAACGATTCCCTAGAAATTGACTACGCAGGATCCATGGCCTAACCTTGAGCTGTCTTATGTCAGCGACCACACACGTTACATCTAGATTTTTAATACCAAATGATCCGCTATTATATTGCCTACAGCTATGCAAGATTTGGTGCAGCTGCGCCGCGCCGTTCGGAGACGATTCTGGAAAGGCCTTCGGGGGGTGACATTGACCCACACCGGAGAGCGTGTTAAGAGAAAGATAGCGCGACTTACGCGGAACACATGCTGACTTCTAGCCTGATTTGCTGCTGCGAGGATAGCGTCCCTCTCATTTGTCCAACGGACGGATGCATCAAAGGGACTCCTCCTCGGGATTACGCTGGAGCTCCTTGGGAGTTGAAGCATTGTGGGGTTTTGCAAACTGACCGTGGTTGACCAGGGTAGCCCAGGGTCCTAACAACATTTCTGGTCGTCAAGGATTTGAGCGTGCCCAGATGCATGCAAAGACAGTAAGGTACATGTGCCGTAAATGCTGTTTTTTGTAATTTGTTATGCGAGGTGGATGCAGTTCGAGAGACGAAGGACTGCTTCAAACCCAACATCTCTTGCAGGGTGCCGTCTCATTGAAGTGCATTGCGATATAATCGGTTGTTACATTGATGAGATCTTGGGTATACCCCGGCCTCAGGACACTTTTTTGGAAACTAGGTTTTATGTGAAATTACCTACTGCTTTCCTTGTAGCGTTCTCGAAATTTCTATAATATCTATCGAAGCTGTAAACGATCAAATGTGAACTGTAGCTATCCATTCAACGTAACGAAAGCTCAAGCTAAATATGTTTCCTTGGTTGGTCCATTCCGATGCATGGTCCAGTCGTGCAATATCTGATTCATATCCGAAGTGTCCACTCAGTTAGCACACGCTTAGCTCCTTAGGTGTAGGGGCTTGTAACGTAAGCATGTCGGGTTTAATGGCATCCTTTAAGACGAAGACGCGTCCGGTGACCTTGCTGCCTGAGCCCACACAGCCATGCGTTCAACTTCACTGTCAGCTAACACGACGCCTATAGATCCCTGTGCCAACGCTGCCTGCGCAGTCATCTGACTGGCGTGGCTGGCGGCCGGCAGGAGGACAAGCTGAGCAGCATTGCCGAGCGGTTTCACGGCCTGTCGGAGAAGCTGCACGGTCTGGGGCACCACCGCTCGGAACCAGAGCCGACGCAGCGGGCGCGCGCCGGCAGCCTCGGCGCCGCCGTCCACCCCATGTTCACGGTGACGTCGCCGGCGTCGGCGGAGCGCAGCAGCGATTCGTCACCCTCTCACAGTCAGGTCTCGCGCAATTCGTCCAGAAAGTCCAACAACTCGCTGCTGGTCAACCCGGCGGCAGCCGGTGAGTGGTAGGGATGGGGAGGGAAGCTTGTAGATGGACACGTTCGGGGACTCCGTCAGTATGACAGCGTGGGCGTTATGGCAGTGTCCTGGAATTGTCGACTTTGGGTGTAAACAACACCCTATGAGAAGGAATTTTTCACTTCTTTTCCCCATATTTTATGCGAATTTTTTAGTCCTGCCTGACATTGTCTAATCGTACATGCCAAACCCGTATTCCCTTTCTGAAGTTTTCAGATGTCATCCAAAACCGAGCTCACTTGAAACCACCAAGCATAAACGAGGCTCCACAGAACCTGAAAACCTATGGCTATGTCCTGCCTCACCTACATCTGAATCATGTCTATGTATGCACACAGCAAGGGCGCCAGGCACCTCCAAGCGCAAGAACCCCAGCGACCCCAGCCGCTTGCACGCATTAAGTTTGGTTTGTTTACAAAATGCATCACGATCTGCAGCTGTGCGCCAAATGCAAAGTTTTCACTCATCCCCTTTTTTGTCTCACCACCACACCACGAAAGCAGAGCCTGGTGCAAACACCAGCAAAGCCTGGTAGAGAACTTTACTCCACGTATTTCTTTTTTCCCCAAGAAACTTGACCACTAAATTTCATCACTCCCGAAATGCAGGCGTGAAAGTTCAAGAAATGCCTTCTAAATGAAACTTTTAAGATGAATATTACTATTTGATCACTTCTATTAGCAGATTTGAAGTCAAATCAGCAGATTAAGAAATTTTGCGAGAAAAGTATCAGCATTTATATTTATTTAGCTACTTTTGTTGTTCTTGGTAGCATACGAGTGTGATACCACTTTATTCTTCCTTCCTTTTCGATTGCCTTTGGAGGTACCATCTGCCGCTTAACATTTTGACAAATTTCTCTGCAAGATGCTCCAACTGCAAGCTTGTACGTATTTCATACACAAATTGGATTAATTCGCCAGCCGCCCAAACATGTTCGATGTGCACCCAAGTGTGAACAATTCACAGGGAATGAAGGAGACAATTTAAAGCACGGAACTTATTTTTACCGCCATTTTTGCCCTCTTAAACCCTCAGTTAATCGCTTTCTTGGTTGATGGCTGTACTCAGTAATGATAAATCTAAGCCTTTCGAACGTCTGACTCACTAGGCTACCTGGCAAGGCTATTTTAATGCTGCCATACAGAGCCTCGGGACAGACCTGACGCAGCAAATGCAGAACTGTTTGATTGTGAAATTCTGTCCTCTGGTGATGTTTATCATGCACACCTCTTATTTGTTTCGCATTTTAATCTCGCAGGTTGGTGGGCATGACTGATATTTATATTTGGGGGGTGAGTGGGATGACTCTATCAGCCAGCAGACCATACAAAAGGTACTGACTTTTTTGGGGGGAGGGAGAGCAGGAAGAAGCCAGTAAGTCTCCTGTGGACCAAGTAATTACATACCTTACCTGCTTTCAGCACATGATTGGTAACCAAAGTTAGCCATTTCCTGTTTTAATCCATGAAGTTTTGTCATAAGACAAATTATGATGCCACAGGACATGCGATAGGCTTATTTTGTTCCATATTCTTGGTTATTTGCCCCAAATTTCTCAAAGTGGTCCCTCATGGGTGCTTTAACCAGATGTTTTCTATAGTTGTCATGGCTTGCTGACCGGCCAATGACTGTACTGTATATATGCACTATGTTTTTGACACAGGGATACCCTAAGCTGCATAGCAATTATAACATGACTTAAATATAAGTATGTAACAAATAGTCAGACCATCCCATTTAAAATATAAAGCCAACATCTGAAACTTTGTCATCAAATATTAGTAAACAAGCCTTAATGAATGCATTTTCTGCAGCCGAAAAGGCAAGCAGCAATACTGGCAAGGCCATCTAAAAGTTATGTTACTTTTGGAGAAGAGAGATTGTTTTGTGGAGCATGTTCATCATATGGGCTACTCTAAGTTACGTTAAGTTGGTCAAGTGCATGGCAAGTGGCAATAGGAATTATGCAAGAATCAATAACTCATAACTGCTGCTGTGATACAAACAGGTTATACAGGATGAGATGATGTAAGGCTTCTTTAGGCTAGGCATAGGCTACTTTCATGGAAATAAGCATTGGTATTTTGTAAGAAACAGTGACAAAATGTTTGTTTTCCCTGACCCCACCGTAACATAGGCCAGAATATGTTTATCGTGTTTGACTTGGCGATGAGCTGATGTATAGGAGTCCAAGTTTTTTTTTGTTTGAGTGGTTTATGCTTGTTGAATTTTCTGTTGTTATTTTGTTATTGAATTCCTTTGCTTCGTTTGTTTTAAAAGCGCTCTCGAAGGGAATTGAAAAGTGCAGCATCAAATTATTGGTGTTAATAAATTGTTATGCTCACAATTATGTCATGAAATTATTATGCTTTAACACACGCCCGGTTGGCCGGCTAGATGCCCTTCGCTCGGGTGGGAGGGGGTCAACCTGACCCCCCTCTCTGAAATCTTTGGAACTAAGAAAGCTAGAGACACCAAATTTACAGGGTGTCTCGACCTATACGTCAACTCACTTAGGTTACGGTTTCAGCCTCGTAGGTCATGCTCTTCAGGTCAAATAAGGTCAAACAAGGTCAAATTCCAGGCTGGTCTCCAAAGCGCACCCAGAACCTAGGCAACTGTCTCTAAGCAAAAGGTCACAAGCCCATTTGAGGTCATTGACCTAGTTTGACCCTTTGAAGGTCATGGTGACCAAAATGTTATAAGACTGCTCTGAGTTTTGCATTAACGACAAAGATCACGCTAGGTTCCCAAAAGAAAAAGTTCGACCCGGGTCATCTTAGGTCAATGGCCTGTTCTGACCTCTAAGAGGTCAATTGGAGATGTATAAGGCGGTTCCTGCCGTTAATAAATTCGAAATGAGCACCAGAAACTATCTCATACAGCAAGCCCTAGAGTCATAAATCAGGTTAGCTTAGACCTTGGTCTGACCTTTATACTTGACCATAGGTCAACGCAATTTGCTTATTCAATATTTGTGGTGCCTAAGGAAGCATCTCATAGAGGCATGTCTTCCCCAAACACTCCATTGTTGTTTGTCCGTTCCGGTGGCTCAGTTGGTTAGAGCGCCTGCATTCCGATCCATCCACCCACGGCAAGGTGGGTTCGAGTCGCTTTAGGGCGCTCGCTATTTGCCCTTGGCAGGTATGGCCTGTGACCGGTGGCAGCGGTCGCGCTAAAGGTCAATTGACGGCAGAGGGTAGGACGGACCGTGCCAACCATTGCGGCACGTTAAGCTTTGGCAGCTAAATTCTGCCGTTGCCTGGAATTGCCGATCGGATGGCGGGGGTCAGGGCTCACACAACAGGCACTGCTTAGCGTGAGCGCTGATCCCAGAAATCCATCCATTCAAAGGGTTCGGTTATAAAAAGTTGTATCATATTGAATGATTCCCTAGAAATTGCCTTCGCTGAAACCATGGCTACCTTTAACCTGTCATAGGTCAACGACGTTGCAAGGTACATCTAAAATTGGTATGTCAAACGATCCGCTATGCAATTTTCTACAGCTATGCAAAATTTGGCGCGGCTACGCCGCGCCGTTCAGAAACCATTCGGGAAAAGCCCTCGGGGGGGTCAGTTTGCTCCCCCCCCTCCACCCACCCAAACGCGTGTTAATGTCTTCTGTTTCACTTGAATGGCCTAAGATGTTAAAAAACGAAATAGTTTTGTCAGGTTCCTGATATTACGGCCATGCCAACTTGAAATAGATGTCTTTGTTTGCTGAAGCATCAGTCACGTTCACGTCACGTCACAGTCACGAGCCCATACGTTCCGTCTTTTGTGAATTATTTTTTTCAATCCCGCACGGTCTTTTTGCGATGGAATTTTTCACTCTCAACCTACTTCAAAAGCGATTCTAGCTCCCTGCGTTATGGGCACCAGAGGCATCATGCGTCCTTTATAGTGCTAGAGATGCCTGAATAATAAAATGTGTAGTTTGTGCCAACATATCTGCACATGTAGATCGGTACGCAGGGACGTTCGACGGCCAAAGTGACGAAATTATTAAGCAGGTTCTCAAGAGGTGTTCTTTGCGTTATGTTGTGATCACATCCAACCACTCTCCATCATTCCATCAGTAGGCAGTTTTTGATATCGGCTGTCTGTCTGTGGTGCTAGTATTTCTTTCTCAAGCAATGGCACACGTATTCGTGTCCGGTCAAGCCGCGTCGTGTCCCACCGCATGGCGGCGCGCGTGACATGCGCGATGGTCTGCCCCCACGTCTGGAGCGCTCTGGTGTGACGTCTTCTGTATTCCTCTTAACATCTCCTCGCAGATAAGAAGGTTATCAGAAAGTGCAGCGCCATCGAGATCCACAACGTGCGCGTGTCCGTGAAGGATATCGTCTGTTACCTGTCTCTGCTGGAGGGAGGTCGCCCAGAAGACAAGCTCGAGTGTGAGTTGCCCGTGGCTGTAGCCGAGATCGGCTCAGTGGCTACCACGCTCGTTTCCTCCGTGCTATGAATATGGTGACGTTTGAAAGTTGCACATATCACCGCCCAAAATCGTTCATGCGCTTGCTTTGCCCTCTGGAGGCTGATGCATGCGAGCGTGCGTGCCAGCACGTGTGCGGATTGCATTACTTCATCGGTCGAATTTGCATTATCGAATTCAATGCCAGTTTGTTTATCCAATGCGACCCTCAAACATGCTTCTTCATAAGTTCCGAATTTGCTTCGTCCAATTCATGGCAGCAAGCTTATCTCAGCTTATCTAAGGTTATTTCTAGTTATATTTAACTTACGCTGCTCTAAGCATATGGACGGCTACCTAAACTTAGCTTATCTGAGCTTATCTAAGGTTATCTAAGCTTATTTTACAACTCACTTTAGCGCTGCGTGCAACGTGCCGCGCCAGTCTATATCCAACAGTTTCATCCCTTTGGCTCGGTGAGACATGAAGTATCAAATGCAGGCCTTATGGACAAGCTTACGACGCGTTGACATGCAACTCCTAATGATATTCAAGTCCATTCGTGCATGCTAATTTTTTAGAACGTAGTCCAGTTGTAAATCGTCTTACATGTTGTTTTCCTAATCCAGCTTAGTCATATCCATGTATTAAGCTTAGATGAGTGGATCTGTCCAATCTGAAAAGAAAGCGGTAAAAACGTGCACACTGCATTTTGAGAACGACGTCCGCCGGGCTTGTGAAGACCTGCTGCTCCGGTATGCTTATTTATTGTAACTTCATGGCAGACATATGCCCTCCATTCTAGAACATCATTGCTTGGGGTGCTTCAAGCCATTTATTTTACGGCTCCCACATTCTCCAAACCCACGGTTGTCGCCTTAGTCATTCATGGTTAAGCATTGTCAACAATTGCAGCAACTAGAAACGACAAATCGCCGGCCCATTCCCACGGTGGCATGACAGCATGACGGAACAGCATGGTAACCTGGTATGGTGTTCATAGACCCTTAGTATGGCCTTTTCACCGAATTTATATGCATGCACACAAATTACCATCCGACCTTCCAAACGAATCGTTTCTTCTGGGAATTTTTCTTCTACGCAACCACCCATGAATAGGTAACCAAAAGTGTTTACCCTGTCCAGATGAGGCAAAGACAATTTACACGGTCATCGAATTTACCAAAGCATCAGCACTGAAATTCTTCAGTCTATGCATTCAGTGAAATCTTGTTCGCTTGTAAATGGAGGTTTGTTTCATTGCTTATATTGCAAACTAATCTTGGGTCTAAACCAGTGGAAAGTACGTTATTTTCTTCTACTTTCTCCAATATATTTTCAGTATTTGTTGAAAGATTTGTATATGTCTTTTCCATTTGTGACGATGTGAGTATTATCAGCACGTTACATCACAGGCGCATTGCCCGCATTTTTAGCGTTGATAGCGTGTTCCAGGTTTCCTTACGGTTATATGCGCGTTCTTGAAACTTCTTTCAAAAATGCTTGTTCTTGACGTGATAAGAAAGTTTAATGAGCACGCTTTGATTTTTTGAATTGTTGTGTGCGTCAGCACACAAAAGATGATAAGGATTCATTTCAAACAGCTTGCATTTGCCAAGCACACATGTCATCAATGCCCCTTGAGAGCCATGGACGTCGTGCGGCCGCCTCGCCTGACCTGGTTATTTTACAAGCAAGTTTCGATGTGCTCTCATTATATGAATTAGTTACACGATTAACAAATCGATCCAGGTCTGTCTCACTTAGGAAATTAACTAGCGTCTCAATACGAATTGGATGATTTGTCTACTTTGCGATGGTGTGTCTATTTGCAATGACACACGGACGGTAGATTTATTGTGTGGTTCAGAATTTAACTTCGTGTAAGAGGCATGAATTTATGGATGATCGGACTGGTTTAAGATAACAATATACCTATCAGGTATTTTTGGGAAGGTGATCCGGCTGGTTTGATATAGCAATACAACCTATTACTCTACTGTTGTTTTTAGGCTAACGAAAGACGTACATGAGACCACATAGTGTATGGAATTCAAAGGGCAGAGAACAAATGTTAAGCGAAAAAGGAAAATGTGATGCTTAAAATCACCCACTGTTATTTCCCCTTGTATATTTAGTATACCTTTTGTTCTTGTCCAGTGCACTTCGCCCCCCTAATGTTTTGCCGTTTCGGGGCAGTTTTGGGCAGGTAAACTCGAGTCTTGAAATCATTTTATGATGCGTTCGTGAATATCTTTTGTAAGTTGTTACCGCACTAAGCTTGCGTTGAGTGTTCATACTGTATATTCAGTGTACGGCTGTCAGGACACTGAACATGTCTCTAGGCTTCCAACTCCTAGGCACTGTCAAGGCATTGAGTAAGCTCAATGAGGAAAACTGCTGCACGTGCATCTCTGAGAGCGCTTATCCTCTTGTTGCCATCTGTTGTGTAGTTTCTCTGCTGCCTTACACCAAACTCGTCAGGTATAGTTTCTGAGGGATTGCTACTCAGGATCACTGGTGGGTGTTCTTGGAACGTTGAAGGATTACCATCACTGTCATTAGCAGTACTGTGGCCCACATTCCGCAGACAGCGTTGTTCTTGCAGTGCACTAAGCGGTTCAGACGTTGCTACAGATCATCCACCTGGTTGGCGAGTATGATCGCAGCCTTACTTTTAGCAACCCATTTTATCATTGTGGCGGCTCATGTTTCAGTGTGGTTGCACAAGTAGTGAGGTCACAGTGGTATGGTGCTGAGCGTTTGAATCAATAATCGCTAAGAAATATTTCCCTTTCAGTCATGTTTCGTCTTTACGACAGTGACGGCAACGGTGTTCTGGACACTTACGTAAGTGGATTTCTCTGAAAGTGTACGGTATTAACCTGTCGTGCTACCTGAGACTGGGAAACATTTCCGTACTAGCCTTGCCGTGTGATGCTGTTTTAAACATGCGGCGTCAGGTCGTGAATTTTCGTAGTACAGCCTATCTATAATCGTTGAGAATTATTCGTCGTCCGTATTCGTTGGCAGACGTATCTACGTTGCCTCTAATAACTATTGTATTTTTGCTTTTTCTAGGAAATGGATAGCATTGTGAACCAAATGATGTCTGTAGCTGAGTATCTTGGATGGGATGTATCGGAACTGAAGCCGGTAAGCGCTACTCAGTTTCCCTTCATATACTTCTCACTACATCTCGCGCACTACAGTCGCTGGTGATGTGACCTTGGGCACTTTTTTTAATGTCCCAGCTACTATACCATGCTTTCTCTGGGCCTTTATCATGGCTGTCAGCTGTGCTTGACTCTGCATTTGTCTAAGAAAACGTAGACAAACCATCGTGTTGCTGCGCTCAAACACCGGCAACTTCACTGGAAGGTGTGAATGCCCCCGCCCTTCCGCTTCGCACCGTATTTCATTCGGATCCGGCACTGTCTCCAGATTCTGCAGGACATGATGGTGGAAATTGACTACGACGGCGACGGCACCGTCTCCCTGGACGAATGGATGAGGGGAGGCATGACCACCATACCTTTGTTGGTCCTCCTCGGTCTGGATGCGGTGGGTGCCCTCCTCCCCAGGTGTGCAGAGTCTTAATGCCTATGTCAAGCACTAACAACGTTTGCCTGAGCTCAATGTGGAGCGTACGTAGTTGGAGCGCCGCTTGACTAGTTTATACCGACTGGCGTCACCCCCCGCCACTGTACGATACAGTGTGATGACAATTACGTGTTGTAGATTCGCCCTGTCATAATGCACCGCCGTAACGTCACCCGCAGGAGTAAGGCTAGACTGAAAAGCCTAGACCGTGATGCGCGATCTGTACTCACTCGTGGTACGGAGTTAACACCCATTCAGAGGTCAATGGCCGCTCGGGTGGCTCATTGGAGGTCTGTCGGGGCGGGGTCTGGCTCGTCCCGACGTCCGGTCGGGGCGGGGTCTGGCTCGTTCCGACGTCCGGTCGGGGCGGGGTCTGGCTCGTCCCGACGTCCGGTCAGGGCGGGGTCCGGCTCGTCCCGACGTCCGGTCAGGGCGGGGTCCGGCTCGTCCCGACGTCCGGTCAGGACGGGGTCTGGCTCGTCCCGACGTCCGCTCAGGGCGGGGTTTGGCTCGTCCCGGCGTCCGGTCAGGGCGGGGTCCGGCTCGTCCCGACGTCCGGTCAGGGCGGGGTCCGGCTCGTCCCGACGTCCGGTCAGGGCGGGGTCTGGCTCGTCCCGACGTCCGCTCAGGGCGGGGTCTGGCTCGTCCCGACGTCCGGTCAGGGCGGGGTCCGGCTCGTCCCGACGCTCGCGACTCCTCACCCGACTTCCGTTCATGTCTCGTTCGGCCGGCACCGAGTGTCGGTCTTTGCGGCACACGGTTTGACATTTTGTCTTGCGTGTCGTTTGCCACAGAATGTGAAGGATGATGGCAACCACCTGTGGCGGTTGAAGCATTTCAACCGGCCTGCCTACTGCAACCTCTGCCTGACGATGCTAATGGGGCTTGGGAAAAAGGGACTCTGCTGCATCTGTAAGTGCATCGTCATGCGCGTTGTGGGAAAGATCCCTTCGCGATATGACCCGAAATCGTGCTGAAATGAAACCATGATGCAGCATCGATAAAGCAAGGATGACATGCATCAGCAGGGGTTCTGAAAAGCAAAAGATGATTGCAGTAAGTCATCTTAGGGGCAATTTGTGCTGCACTATGTAGATGAAGCCCATCGCCTGCATCGTCTTGCGGACGATGTTTGCCTGTCTTGCGTGTCGTGAAGTCATGTCAAGTCATGAAGTCATGTTTTAACGGAAGTGGTCAGATGGTCATCCTCGTATACATCGTCTGATGTTATTCTCTGAAGCGTGGGATATTTTAGAGGTTCCTACGCATTGTGAGCCGTGACCGGGTCGTGTGCTGTGGGGAGTGGAAAGGTAATATGAGTATTGATGATAGTCTTAGATGGTATCTGACGCTGCCAGAACTGAATAATGCCGATGCGTTTCCGTCATGTGCATCGGACCGAACCACTCTGTTTTGCAATATATTCAGCGCATGCCTTTCTACGAGCCTCAACTTGATCTAGTTATCACAGAGTCCAGATTATTTTAGGATGAATTTTAAAATGTTAGTCTGACAATAACCGACCTTAAATCTATTAGAAGGTACTGCCCAAATGGCTTTAAAAGGGATGCTTCGGCTATATTGACAAAACATAGTGTTTCGAAGCTGGGGCGACCCAAGGCCCTAAAATAGCATCAGTGTCAATATAGCCAATGTTCCCTTTATATCGTCGTGAAACAAACGCTTCCTAGTACGTTGACATGCTCCCGGGTGGTCGGCTAGATACCCTTCGCTCGGTGGGGGGTCAATTTGAACCCTCTCTGAGATCTCGGGAACTAAGACGGCTAGAGACACCCAATTTATAGGCTGTGTTGACCTGTACGTGAACTCACTTAGGTGAAAGTTTCAGATTACTAGGTCATGACTTTCGGGTCAAAAATGTCAAACAAGGTCAAGATCCAGGTTGGTCTCCAAAGTGCCCCAGAAGCTCGATAACCGTCTTTTAAGCAAAAGGTCACATGCTCATTCAAGGTCAGTGACCTTGTTTGACCTTTTAAAGGTCAATGTGACAAAAAACATATAGGATTGCTTTGAGTTTTGCATTTGACTAAGCGACAAAGATTACGCTAGGCAGTATGTTCCTAAAAGAGAATGTGGACCTGGGTCATTTTAGGTCAATGACCTGTTCTGACCTCTTAGAAGTCCATGAAAGATGTATAATGCGGTTCCTGCTATCAATAAATTCAAAATGAGCGCCAGAAGCTATCCCATACAGCAACCCCTGGAGTAACAAAAAAGGTTGATTTTTGGTGGCTGTGTTGCCTAAGAAAGCATCTCAGAGATGTCTGGCTTCGTCTAACACTTCGTTGTTGGATCAAATTGAAGGATTCCCTAGAAATTGCCTTCGTTGAAGCCATTGCATGACTTTGAACTGACATAGGACAGTGACCTTACAAGATACTTCTAAATACTTGACACCAAAGGATCCGCTATTCAACTGTCTATAGCTATGCAAAATTTGGCGCAGCTACGCCGCGTCGTTCGTGAACCATTTTGGAAAAACCTTCGAGGAGGTCAATTTGACCCCCATCCGAGCGCGTGTTAATCGTCGATTAATGTCAGAATAATATCTTGCAAATCACTGTAACGAATTTCCAGGAGCTCTAAGCCTTTCGTGCTTAATCAGATCAGACTTTCTTTGTGGGACCCCTGATGAGAGTTTTTGGTGAGTTTGCTTCAGAGCACGTGACGAATAGCTCACTGTTTTTTTTTCAGTTTGCAAGTACACCGTCCACGAGCGTTGTGTACAGCGCGCTCCAGCGTCTTGCATAGCCACTTATGTCAAGTCCAAGAAGACGTCACAAAGCATGCTGCACCACTGGGTGGAAGGCAATTGTGTGGGGAAATGCTCCAAGTGCAAGAAGACAATAAAGGCGTATAACGGCATCACTGGACTGCACTGTCGATGGTGCCAGATGAGCGTAAGTTCTGGCCTGCTGGCTTGGAGCTGGCCGTTTTGTACATGCATAGTTAGGGAGCTGTGATGTCTGTTGTCTCGGTACTTCCGGAATTCTTTCCGGAGCTGGGATATCGTTAATCGTGTTCTGGTTGTGATAGAGACCTGACGGCATCCACTTGGTATTTTGGAAGCTAAGAATGATCGAGGTGTGCAGATATTGTCAAAACCATATTTCATTTTTGTGTAGATCATAATACACCACTGCCCTTCCCCTTGTCTTTTAATACTATGATCAACCCTACACTATTGCTTGTAAGGCAATGAAACAAAGATTGGCTTGGCCTCAACCCTAAGGAGGCTCCGCGAAATGCATGACAGCATCTATTCTGCAAAATGCACCACTTTCAGGATTGCGGTAGATTACGGCAGTCTCAGTCTCATTAACCAACGCAAATATGTGTATACTTTGAAATATACTGAGTGCTCAGTCGTATGTCTTACACGGTGACTGAAGATCTTTTTACTCTAAACTAAAGATATAGATATGAAGTTGTCCTGGGTGTCCATTCTCTGAGCGCTGTCCGTGTCCGCAGCTCCACAACCGGTGCGTGGCGCAGGTGAAGCCTGACTGTCAGCTGGGCGAGCTGCGCTCCCACGTGCTGCCGCCTACGGCCATCTGTCCGATCGTGCTGGACCGGCAGCGTTCCGTCAGTCGGGATCGGCGCAGCACGCGCCACGACGACAACCATGTAAGTCAGCAGCGGCGCTCCACATTCGCCCATACACGGCAGTGACGCCCCACACCGGCCCATACACGCCAGTGACGCCCCACACCAGCCCATACACGGCAGCGGTTCCCCACACCGGCCCATACACGGCAGCGGTGCCCTACACCGGTTCATACACGGCAGCGATGCTCCACGTCGGCTCGTGCACGCCAGTGACGCTCCACACCGGCCCATACACGGCAGTGACGCCCCACACCGGCTCATGCACGGCGGCGACGCCCCACACCAGCCCATACATGGCAGCGACGCTCCACACCGGCCTGTACACGGCGGCGGCGCCCCACACCGGCTAATGCACGGCAGCGACGCCCCACACCAGCCCATACATGGCAGCGACGCCCCACACCGGCCCATACACGGTGGCTCATACACGGCAGCGACGCCCCACACCAGCCCATACATGGCAGCGACGCCCCACACCGGCCCATACACGGTGGCTCATACACGGCTGCGCCGCTCCACACCGACCCACACACGGCCGAGCCGACACCGGCAAGTAGCTGTCTAGTGGCGGAACGTAGAACAGCTTAAAGTAACTTTTTGTGCATTGCGTGTATGATGTGTGTTGTGTGTTGACTGTCTACGTGTGCCAAGCGACAGACGCGATGGATTGCGTGTATGATGTGTGTTGTGTGTTGGCTGTCTTCGTGTGCCAAGCGACAGACGCGATGGATTGCGTGTGTGATGTGTGTTGTGTGTTGGTTGTCCACGCGTGCCAAGCGACAGACGCGATGAAATCGAATTGTACTCAGCCGTCAGCCGTGGTATTCGAACTAAACCTCTCAGCACGCCCGAAAGCTAGGCTAGTTAGCAAAATACATAACTGAGGGTCCGACCCCAGCATCCGCTGGGTCTGAACTGGAACGCGACGGTGACCCCCCCCCCCCCCCTCCCCCATCTCCCTCCCCTGTGGGCAAGGCGTGGGTCTGCTGTTGAGAGAGGTTGTCTGAAGTGGTACCACTCATCCCACTCCGCTCATCAATCCCAAGCTCCTAAACGATCTGAGCGCATCGCAGCCGCACAGAAGCCGGCGTCCCTCACAATTGGTGCTCGTTTCAGGGGCCAATGTCCTTTCAAATCAGCCCACCGGATGGCTGCAAGCCACTGCTAGTGTTCGTGAATCCCAAGTCCGGCGGACGGCAAGGCGCCAGAATACTCCGGAAACTGCAGGTGGGCGAATAGTCGAGCGCCGCGCAATTCAGTAGAAAATGATAGACACAGTCAAAGTAGGCGTGACATATGTATTTTGTTACCATGCTCTTCATGGTTTCGCATCAAACGGGTATATAAATAAATGGGAACAAAGAGGACATTTGCGCATCACAGCAAATGACGATGATGTATCACGGTGTGAGTCGACGGCTCAGTATTTGCCGTAGGCGGGCTGAGGCTGCTGGTAGCTGTTGTCGTAGCTGACCTCGGGAGTCGGGTACTCGGTGGGCACCGGGGTCGGCAGCACGTCACTGGATGGCTGGTAGCCGTTCTCGTCGGCGACAAAGGTGACCTTGACGGGGTTGCCGTAGCCGTCAGTGTAGCTCCAGGAGCCCTCCTGCTTGTAGCTTCCCTCCTCCTGCCCGTACTGGTTCTTGCCGTAGCCGGGCAGAGGGACGCCACTCTCGGACCTGACGACAGATGGCAGCATAGTACCGAGAAGGCAGACCAAGGCGGCGTACGGTTCTCGGCGCGCAGCAGCGAGTAGCAGCAGCGAGTAGCAGCACTTTGAGTAGTATAGGTATGATAACTGATCGAACGCTTTCTCAATAATGCAAGTGGTCCTCGATTGCATATGATCAATGTTAATACGGATTTTTGTTTACGTCCTGCGTGATGCTCAGCAACATCAGCACACATCGGCGAAACGTATGTTCGCCTGCGATTTGCTTTGATTAGGAATTGTACAATTCCCGAAATCTCCTTTTGCATTGGAACAGCTGTTAGGCTCTAAATAGGCAGCAATCAATATCTTGACATATTTTGGTGAAAAAGATATTGCTCCCCTATTTTAAAGTGTTCGCAATCCATGCGGTAAACATGCGAATGGTTTTGTTAACACTGACCTGTAGATGCCATTCTCAGTGTTGAAATGAGAACTGTAGGTGCCATCTCCGGGGTGAACGTCCTCCTGCTCGAGGATAGCGATGGGCTTGTAGCCGCTGTGTCCGTGGGAGGGAGCCGGGGCGTAGCTGGGCTGGGGCTTATAGGCCGGGGCCGGGGCGTAGCTGGGCTGGGGCTTGTACGCCGGAGCCGGGGTGTACGCCGGCCGGGGCCTGTAGGTCGGTGCCGGGGCGTAGGTCGGCTGGGGCCGGTCGGCGGCGGCCATCATGGCCAGGGCAGCGATGATGAACTGAAAAAGGTATCGCATGTGAGAACAGGCTGACAGGCTTATCGTTGTATTCCCCGCCCCCTTCTTCAACCATGCGCCGTGCAGCAATCAGTGTTATCACACTATTACGAAACCAGCGTCATCAAAGTGATCATGCATGCAGGCCACATGTCATTGCCAGACTGCCTGGCGTTGGAGCGGGGTGGGATCGGGATCGGTCGGCTACGGTTATTGCGCTATATCTGCTCTCGGAATGCGGCAAGGCAGTCGGCCGAGCCAGCGCCATTCACTTGCCAGCTTCATGCTGATGATAGGGCGGACAGAGGTGAACTGGTGCCGACTGCGGCCGCTCGCTGACCTTATGTAGGGCCGGGCGGCGGCGCTTAGGCCACACCCCATCTCGGAGAGGCACGGCGTCTGGTGGGGCGGCCGCCACAGGCTCTGCCGTCCTGCGACCTTCACCTGCGGCCGCCGGATCTGGGTCAGCCCGGCTGCTGCGGTCCGGCCTGTCGGCGGCCGCGGGCTGTCGGCGGCGCAACGCCCGCTTCACCGGGTGATTGAGGCCAGGTAATGACAGGGCACCGCCCGTTTACGATGCTGCGGAACGGACTGAGATGGTAATGACCCTTCCGAAGGATGCTGATTTGACTCGGCTGCGATGGGACCAACTAAATCTTTCATTGTCATTGCGCCCGAAAAGGTCGACGAGCATGCAGTAATAGCGCTCAGCTCGTAACTCTCGGCAGCACCTTCACAAGCGCTAGCTGGCGAACATCTAAAAATAACGTCATCAGAATGCTTATTGTGCGGCGTAGAGAGAGAGAGAGCCATGATGAGATGAGCCGTACCGACTTGTAGATGAGGCCAAAACCTAAGTGATTGGAACTAGAAAGCACCTTCGAAACCCACCTGATGTTATCAACTAACATGCCATCTCGAAAGTTTTGGCAACTCAAGATTTTCGCGCGACCATCCATGAACAACATCACCTGAATATTGTCCAAGAATGGGCGTTAGCATGTCATGTCAACGCGCCGCGAAAGGAAATCAGCGCAATGTGAAGAATGACTGCAGGCGGCTCATGCCATAGATGCGGTTTACTCCTGTTGTGATAGCGGCACTAGAGCGTCGTGAGCTTGACCGCGGCGGTCGTTTGTGGACAGCAGGCACAACCCAGTGAAACCGATGGCGCAACGGAGCTGAATCTGTAACGCTTTGTGATGAGGCGCTGGACGGGATTGTAGAAATGGGGCTGTACATGGATAGTGTTGCGATAAGTTCGTCAGGAGTGAAAAGTTTCTGATTTACCGGATATGGTAGGTGACAAACACTAAGGCTTTTGCGAGTCAATTTGTGACAAAATTGCAAAACTGAAAACGATTTCCAATATATCCGACCGGAAGATATTGCAACAGACCATCCCAGCTAGCTGAAACTCAATGCTTAGTATTGGTCTGTACTCGCTGACGCTTCAGCGTGAGCATGTGTGGAGCGCACGCCGAAACGTTAGCGTTTCGCTATATGTGCAAGTTGAGCCATAAGATACTTCCAAGCATAGTAACTCTAATCAGGATAGCTTTTAGCAGGCACCAAAAACATGCTAGAGATTATACTACACCGGTGCTGACGTCACAGGTCAGTGGTGACACAGTGATTTTCGAATGCCACTCAGATCAGTGCTTTTCGCAGATTTTTCAGCCAAGCTTCACTTCACATATTAAATAATGTAAAATACCAGATAACTAGGTTTATGACTAGTCGTGAGAATCGCAGCTGGCCGCAGCATCTTGCAGCGAATGTGGTCAGCTTGCTAAGCAGCATTTTAAGGCGCCGTGTCATATGAGACAGATGGGCGCAGATGCCCGCCGCGTGGTAATCCCTTGGAGTTAGTGCAAGGCTGTGGACTGCTATTGGTTGTGCTCATGTCGTGAGGAACTGACTGGCTAGAAGAACGTATCTAACCGTCCGTTTTTTTCAGATAATAACGTTTTGAAGCCCTGCTGGTGTAGGGAGACTGCTGTTTGTGCTGTAGCTGCAGAGATAAACTGAGGACGTTTGAGCGATGTATGTCAAGTAGTCATCCGGGGAACATCGCTGGCGTAGACCTCTCATATTGCCCTTTGCACCTCAGAGTTAGCATACTGATCGGTGGACAGGCGTGAAATAAAACGCTTTTAATTCGAATCGTATTGATATGAATATACATCAAAGTGTTCGAGGTGTTCAAAAATGTTGTTTGCATCTGTGGACAACAATGTTGCTTGGGTTTACCTCTAAATAGTTGGGATCACATTAGGAGGGACGAGATCTGCACTGGTAACGATTATGCAAAGATAAGGAACGTCGCCCACGTTTCCAGCTGAAAGTATGATGACGTCTCAAAACCAAAAGTGATATTGTCTCCAGGTGTATATAGAACCATTTTATCAGTAAATCTAGGCCTACAGGGATGCAGTTTTTTCAAAATACATAGGGGTGAGGGAGGGAAGGAGGGGAGGACGGTGGAGAGGAAAAATGGGTGAACCCGCTTCTGAGATGCTCTTAATTCATTTTCTTCCCATCGTTGATTCGCTTTCCTTTCACGGTTGGAAACAGTGGTGTGGACTCTCAAAATTAGTTTGGGGGGCTTAACCCGAAACGATATGACTAATGGAAAATCATGGATAAAAACGATAACTAAAATAGAACCTTCATCCCTGGCTGGGAGGCAGAGTCCCCCCTCCCCTTAACTGAAAAAAGAAATCACACGCCGCTGGCCTAGTTCTGTTAAGTATGCTTTTATCCCATAATTTATTAGTTTATTCTCAACCATTCTTCGGTGTTTGATGACCGGTAAATGATACTTTCGTGCAAATAAACTCCCGAAACGTAAATATTTGATGGCTACGCCACAGTTCATTCAGTTTGTCTTTGTTCTTGTGGTTTATCGTATTTAGAGCTGTATTGCAACGGCTACTGTAAGATTTGGCTCCAGGTGATAACTTCGACGTTGCCTATTTTGTCGGTGACAGAACAGACACGTTTTCAACTCTGAGGTTCCTCGCGGGGGTACTGTCTGCTTAAGTATATATGTTCGCGTAGAAACGCGTGTGTGAAATTTTGCAGGCACCAATCACCAAAATATATTTCCGTTACATTGATGTCATCTTCGTAAATGATGGCAACACTGGTCGGCTCCAATCTCTATGTGCAGAACTTAAGGAGCTGTCTGTCTTAAACTGTGGCGTCGAATTTAGAGTGAAGAGCAGCGTGTCTATACTAGACCTCCTGGTTGATTTATCAGACCGTGAATTTTAGGGAAATGTTTGCAGAATCTCTTCTATTAAGGGTTAAATTGATAAAAGTTCATGCTGACTGTCCAAACAGATGTAAGAAAGCCATAATTCAGACTTATGTCCGCATGGTTTTGAAGATTTTGTGTGACGGGATGGTTTGATTGGGAACTACACCGACTACGCCAAATCCACAGCAGTGACGTACATACAAATACCTACTAACAATGTTGCTAAGTCCCTACTCAATAACTTTTTAAAAAGAGAAAGCCTACGCCTTTCGGGAACGTCGTGGGAGATTACTCTCCCACACCTTTTTTTAGACTTGTTCCCAAAATAGCATGACCCCTATTGAACAATCGATGACAAAACATTGCGTTGCATTGTCCTCAAGCACTGCTTCCAACAGATGAACGGAAAAAACTGAGTGTCTGAGCATACTCTAGCCTAAAGATAAATTTTCTGATAATGAAAACAAGCTCAAGACAAACTAAAGATAAGTTTCCCTACATTATCTGTTCATAGCACAGTAGAATTGGCACATATCTGAAACTATGTCCCCCTGTTATCACCTGTCTTTAAAGGTAAGCACGCCGTGGTCGCCGTATATATAAATTTTTTGTGTAAGTATTGGCTGAAGCGCAGAGCTCTACATCTAGACACAAGGAGACATGCCTCATATGCCCGCTCTGGCGATGCGTAACCAACTACACTCTGGGAGCTCCCCCCCCCCCCCCTTCAAGCCCTGGAACCTATGTTGCAACTATCTTATTTGCAGAAGATATACGTCACTCCTGTGAACGTAAGGTAGTGTGTAGGATCCTGGAGAGATCACTACCTTGACATGATCGGCAAATTTCACTGGAATTCTCTCCCTAACCTGAAACCCTGGAACCCACCTGCACTTGTCATGATCAAAAAGTTTTTACATACTGCGTGAAGAAATTCGTAGGATAGGCAACAAATTCCAGTGATCTGCTCAAAGCTTTCTCGGAAAAAGAGCCAAAAGCACAAGGAGCGTGAAATCTCGCCGCCCTATGCCTTTTGCGCAGACCAGTGTGAAGTCAGTTCACTTAAGTTAGAGCTCATTAACCTACGCAGAAAAACAACTTTTTTGGCGATTCATGCCACGCATGAAATTGCAATGCTGCCCTGTGGTCAAACTTTATTCACTGAAAACGGCTATCAAAACGATCATGCATCAGTCACTTAAGTTAACGGACGTTTCGAGTTGCCAACAGTTCCAGGACACTCAAATGGGTTGTATTCCCTCGTGATTGATGAGTGAATCACAAAGTATCCTGAGCTTTGTGTGGATCTGCGGAACATATGTTTATGATATGCAGGCCCTTATTATAACACCAGTGTTGGCTCTTGCACAGTCATCGCTGTTCCATCTCATGTATTACCTTGAAAAAAGCGTCGTATGTTTTCTAAGTTGTGTACTCTTTGCACTCTCAGATTCGAATCATTATAAATATTGGACGCCGACACGCGTCTCTCAGCATACATCACAGTATATGACACTCATGTCTCAACAGGTATTTGTGGCCGACTTAGTATTTGCCGTAGCCGGGCTGGGGCTGCTGGTAGCTGTTGTCGTAGCTGACCTCGGGGGTCGGGTACTCGGTGGGCACCGGGGTCGGCAGGATGTCACTGGACGGCTGGTAGCCGTTCTCGTCGGCGACAAAGGTCACCTTGACGGGGTTGCCGTAGCCGTCAGTGTAGCTCCAGAAGCCCTCCTGCTTGTAGCTTCCCTCCTCCTGTCCGTACTGGTTCTTGCCGTAGCCGGGCAGAGGGACACCGCTCTCGGACCTGACAACAGATGGCAGCAACGTCAAACGCGAAGCTTGCTGCTTGTGTTCTCAACAGCGGCGGGCTGAATTGTCATTAGACACTGAGAAGTGACTCATGCAATGAGGTTCGCATTCAGTTTTCATTATGAAACAGACCTGTAGATGCCGTTCTCGGTGTTGAAGTGA